AGAGAGAGAGAGAGAGAGAGAGAGAGAGAGAGAGAGAGAGAGAATGAAAGAGAGAAAGAATGAGAGAGAGAAAGATAGAACTTGGACTTGGACGATATCGAGCTTTCGATCATGGATCAACTTTCTTTTCTCGTTTTCACATAACTAATAATAATAATAATAATTTTTCGAGCGCCAACCCCCCCACCCCCATCGAACTCGGTTTTTTCCTCTCGCGCCCTCTCCTCTCCCCTCGAGGGGTTGGATCGGAACGAATCGAAAGTAACACATTGTCCATTTGTCGTGCTGCATACCTCTACTTGTACTTGCTGAAAAGGCGCACCGCGTAAAAATCTCTTTTTAGAACGAACGTGTGGAACGTTTCATTTTTCGCTAAAGTACCACCAATTGTATATGTCAATTTATTTTGCAAAATAAACTATTGGACACGAATCCCCGAGTTTGATGACGATCATCATCATCATCATCATCATCATCATCATTTTCCAGTCCATTTTCCAGTCCAAAGATATATATATATATTTTCGCTCCCGAAACCGAATTTTCTTCTTTCGCCGATCTCTCTCTTTTTCATTTCTTTGAAAACTATCCTCTTCTCCCCCGGAGGGGGAGAAATTTCCACGATTAACCGCAGAGGATAAACACTCGGTCGCGTCGGTAAAACACTTTTCTCAAAGGATCTCGGTCGGATAGAACACGATCCATCCTTCCCCCTCCCCCTCCACCCTCGGAAGTAGAACGCTGCGAGCCGGTTCCTCGCGCAAAGCCGGATCGAAAGGGGGTTCGTGTCTGTTTTACTCGCAGCTCACCCTCGAGCGTTGCGCCACCTGGCGATCGAATGCCCCGAGGGGGGGTAAAATCGCACCGCCTCGACTGATAAAAACGTGTTTCTCGAGGGGCGGCGGTACGAGGAGGGGTCGAAGAGGGGCGAGGGGCAGAGGGTGTGTGGCGAGGGTGGCGGCGCCAACGGCGAATCCGGCGAAACGCGAAATATCACTGAATTATACATGCGCGTTTTTAATTCGGTAATCAATAGTAAAAACCGCTAATATATCCCCACCATTTTTCCGCTATTTAGAATTCACCAATGCCCATCTGCCGACAACCCTTTCCGATCGCGCGTGGGAGGAGCCGCCGAATGCTGCTCTCTCTCCACTGTTCTCGCGGTCGATCGAGGGATCTCGATTCTTCTTTTTTTCCTCCTCCCCCCCCCCCCCTTACGCGTCAACGCGAGACAACGGGAAA